CCTTAAGCATTTTGGTTAATCACAGAGGCAATATGGATTCCAGACTGAGTCAAGACCTGGCCCTCTATTCACTGCCCAAAGGGCCCCAGATCAGTCTTCATCAGTAAAATGGAGAAATGGATGCCTACACTGCAGCCTAAGCAGGGCCTGGGGACACAGGGATGCCACATAAAACGTCTGAGGCTTTTGGAGTCTCTATACCGATGGACTTCTATCAAGACTGCATGCCCTACTACCAAGGAATGAGCTAGTTACATACTTCCTGCACATCTGTTTCCTCATCTATATTATGGAAGTAACAATACACACCCAAAACAGGGATTACTTTTGTACCTGACACAGGCAAGATTGCCACACATCAGCAGCACTCTAAATTCAAGTGTCAACCATTTCTGTGACCACCACCACTACTCTTCCTAATACTGTTAGTACCAAAAAACTACACATTACCAGCTCTTCAATAGTCAAAGCACAACCATTTACACACTGTAGAATGACCACTTACCCCCATCCTCCTAGGACTCCTCTAAAATGACAGTAATGAAATCACAAAGACATTAAACCACAAACACAGAAAGGGACAGAAGACAACGCAACATATATTTTAACAAACTTTTGCAAGATGGGAAGCAGCTGAAGGACTGGTCACTGCCTCTCAGGACCTCTGCAGGGACTCAGCCCTGGATGCAACAAGGGCCACCAAAGGCTGGCTTGAGGCTCTGGCCTATCAAAGAGGGAGCCTCTGATGAGGGGCATTCAAAGCAGTTGGGCCCCCAGGTCCAACAAGAGACCCAAAGTTTTTCTGAAAAAACTGAACCACAGAGGCTGGTGTACCACCAAGCACACCAGAGGCAGCAGACTGCAGGTGTCTTCTCTGCAGACACTGACCAGTCCCAAAGAAGCTGTGAAGGTGCTGATATGTGTGTGTGCGGGGAGGCTCCCAATGAAGAGTTCACCCACATTCCAAGGGAGGCCAATAGACCACCCACCTACCCACCCACAAGCTTGCCCTCCCCTAATCAACTGTTCAGCACCTCACTCTTAATTATAGACAGCCAAGGATCAACAGATACTATCTAAATGAACAGAAAAAGAACTCTGAAATGAACAGGCACATTGGAGGAAGCAGAAGAAATATTTTAAAAATGTTAAACATACAGAAAAAATTAAAAACAACAAACACATGCCTCAAAGATAAGTGAAGATAATACATCCATAAAATTAGAATAAAAAATGGAAATGGAAACAGAAAACAAAAAGAGTTCTAAAATTTAAAATCATCATTAAAATTTTAAAAATAAAAGAGCTTGGAAGACAAAATTGAGAAAATTTCCCCCTCTTCCCACCTCCAAACATAGAGATATAAATAAGAGGCAACATACGTTGAGTATCTGAAGATCAATTCCAGAAGATTCAATAACCAAACCAATAGATATCTCAGAAACAAACAAAAAAAAGTGATGGGTAGGAAATTATCAGAAGTAACAGACATTTTTGAAAACTGAAGAATATGAGTCTCTAGATTGAAAGGGCTCACTAAGACTAGAGGGACCACAAACAGAAGGAAGGACCCACACAGAAGCTGATAAAATTACACAATTTTTTTAAAGACAAAGACCCTAAGCTCAAAAAACAGAAAACAAACAAATAACAACAACCAAAAAAAAAAAAAAAAGAAAGAAAGAAAAAAAACACACAAGAAAAAAAGGAATCAGAATGACTTTGGATTTTTCATCAGAAACCCTTAAAGCCAGAAAACTGTAAAAATGCCACCAAAAATCGTGAAAATATATTTTTTCTGTCTAATATTCTAAATTCAGCCAAATCACCTATAAAGCATGAGGACAGGATAGACACCTTCAGACATGTAAGGCTTCAAATTATTTACCTCCCATGCAACCCTTCTCAGTAAGCTACTGAGGATATACTTTAGCAAAATGAAGCAAACAAAGAAAAAGGAAGACAGAAGATCCAGGGAACAGAGGCTCCAAGACAGGAGAGAAGGGTACAGTATGCGCAGGAAAAATAATCCTACTGTCCAGATTGGAAGAAGAGGATGGAAGGCTCCGAAGCAGGGAGACTCTAAGAGGAAACCAAGTGAAAGTGATAGATGATTTGATGTGTTACCTGGAAAAAAAAATATCAAAAGGCATTTAACATATTTCTTGGAGTGTATGAGAGAATGCAGCCATAGATACAGAAAAGACTCAAAAAGTTTATAAGTCACTTATTTGCTCCAGGAAAAACAATAGCATACAGGAGAAGAAAACATAACCATGGGTCACTATTTAACTCACAAGTGAGTTTATATATGTATGTGTGTGTACGTATACATACATGTATACATAGAATAATGTATAATAAAAATTTATAATATGAATATATACACAATAATCTAAATACAGACTGCTGGTTTTACCAAAAATGATGTAACTATATTGGGGGGTTTGGGCAAGAGAAGAGGGCAACTGCTCAGTTATACTAAGAAGTGAAATGCTTATTCTACATTGATTTCAAAATATGAAAAGTAAAAAAAAAAAACGGGAAAAAAAAAAAAAGAGCTAGATTGGGATAGTAGCTTCCACTGGAAAGTAGGGCCTGGAGGATAAAAAGGCCAAAGGCAGAAGACTGCTGTTTTTTCATTTGAGGTCTTTTAGCACTATTTGATTTCTTTTTTTAACTATGTGCATATATGAATTGGATTAAAACAACTTATTCTCATGTCAAGAACAATCAGTTCAATTTACAAAGATGTCACTACCAACTTTATTTATAAGTTTCATACTTGGAATTGCAAATTCATTGTCTTACAAATATTATAAAGTGATGGTTAGTTTCCCAAGTCAGCTTTCAGAAGGCATTTAACCCATAATGATACAAAAGCATGGTACAAAGTATTTCAAGTAGTCAAACACCATAAGCATAAGAGTTCCTGTGGGAAACTGCATTCTGAGAAATCAGTATGCCTGGTATACATCTCAGCCCCACCCAACTGTTCTTCCCCAGCCAGGGGCAGCCAAAAAATAAAGTCAGAATAGATGAGGAAGATGGAAGGAAGGAGAGGACCTGGATCTGGCAGGATGGAGAGTCAAGAGACCCACTGTAACAGTCAACTCTGTTTGCATTAGAGAAAATACTACTGAAGGTTCCCCTTGTCCCAAAGGTGGACCAAGGTTGATCAGTGAGGAAATCCTCCCCTCTTCCCAACAGCTCATTCCTGGGCACAAACTGGATGCTCATCAATCAGGTAACAAATACATCATTTCAAGTATTAACTAGCAATGACTTCTTTTTCACCATGCCATAATCAAACTTCTATATAAATACCTTTATTTCATTCAATGAAACTTGAAACTTCAAACTTGTTGTGGCCTATGTCAACACTATGTTTGATTATAAGATTATTAAATGTGTGACCTTGAGCAAGTTAAAGTCTCACTTTCCTCATCTCTAAAAGAGGAATAATGATATCCACCTCACTGGGTCACAAGAAAATTAGAGGAAATAATATGTATAAAACATGTAGGAGGAAGTATATGGCAGGCACTCAATCAATGTCAGCCTCTGGTGGTGCCATGTCCCCTACCTCAATTGGCTTCTTACATGTAAACAAAGTCACAAATTATATACACGCTTTTAACCAAAAAACCTTTACAAAACCATGCATAATACATTAATATTTTTAAAATTAATGTTATGAGTCAATTTATAAGCATTCATTATTTTTCCTAAACCTTAGTCTTGTTTCAAGTACTAATCCAATTTGCTGTTTTAACTTAGCTAAATTAAATTCAGCTAATTCCGCTAGACTAAAAAGAGGATTATAGACCGGCAGGACATTACAAAAACACAGCATTCTTTGGTTAAAGGGGACAAACCCGTATATGTAACAATGTCTAAACAGCCGGCTTAAAAGCAGTTCCATTTTAACATTGAGTGGACTTCAGTAGACCTCAAGAAAGTCTTATAACAAAAAAAAAATTGAATAAAATGACAGCTAATGGATGCTTAAAAGAATAATTTTTCCCCTCAAACACTTAGACGCACCACAAATCTGAGATGAAATAAAAATGAAAAAAAAATGCGGTTTTCTGGCCCATAATACACAAAAGAAAGTGAATGTGTAGCTATCTGCAACTACCAAAGACTTCCCATTTGGGGCCATTTCTATCAGACCTTCCTCTAAGGGGTCATTTCCAGAATCCACAGTCACATTTTTCAAATTAATTCCCCAATGACAAAGCTAATTAGGTAGCACAGAACCACCAACTGACCCAAAGCCAAGTTCTCCTTTTCTTAGAAGGTATTCTAAGTAGAAGACTGGCCCAGAAATTCAGAATCAGTCCAAACTCCAACACAAGAACCAAAAAGGTACTGAAAAAGCTAAAAGGTCGGCTACCTGGAGATTCATTCACTATTGTAAAATACGCTTATCGGTCCCAAGATTTGGAGACTGCCACGAACATGTAGTGCCCTTATAACCAATCTCTGTCTCTCATTTAAAAACAAAACAAAACAAAAAACTACGATAACCAGAAAGTATGAGCACCGTAGTTTGGCCTCTACTGGGGCATCAAAACCACAGTAGATTTAACCTAAATAAAACGTGGATTTCGAGTATCCAAAATCCAGGGCCCTAGAGTGACACGTTGAGGAAAGGTCAAAGAAACTTGGAGCGGCAGGGAAGAAGAGTCTGCCTCTAGGGAATAAGGCGAAAGAGGCTGTAAGCAGGCTGGAATGGGGTAGATAGCCGGGGGCCGAGGGGTCCCCGGGTCTTTCCGCGGCGTGCGGGGGAGGCCGGAAGGCTGGCCCAGGGCGGGGGCCGGGCAGGGACCACACCTCCCGGCCAGCAAGGCAGGCAAAGGCCGGGGCCCAGAGGCGACCCGGGGCGCTGGGGCCTGCCCGCCCGCGGTCCAGGTCGCGCGGACTGCGCCGCCGGCGGCCGGAAGCACCGGGGCCCGACCCTACCTGCCCGCCCCTGCGCAGGCGGCCCCACTCACCGATAAGCCGGCGCACCTCATCCTCGCTCAGGTAGAGGCTCACGCTGGGCCCGGCGGACGCGGGAGGCAGCGCCCCGTAGTAGAAGCACAGAGTCTTAACCACTGGACTGCCAGGGAAGTCCCTGTTGGTTCTATTTCTATACAAAATGCCATTGGAATTGTACTGAATCTGCAGATTGCTTTGGGTAGTATGGACATTTTAACAACATGAATTCTTCCAATTCATGAGCATGGAATATCTTTCCATTTATTTGTATCTTCTTTAATGTCAAGGAAAATTATTTAAAGCTTGAAAATAAGAAAAAAAAAGCTATCCTTTCTAAGTCATCTTGGGGCATTATTTAACCGCCGCCGCCGCCTCCTCGACCGCATCTTCCGCAGCGGGAGGCGGGCCGCGGTGGCGCGCGTGCGCGCGCCGCCGCCGCCTCGAGAGCGCGCATGCACGCACCGCCTCCTCCGCGCGGGCCCGAGCCCGGCGAGTAGCGCTTTGGGTTTCCAGGTTCTCTGAAGGCGAAGGGCTCCCCGGTCACCCTGTAAAGGAGCCCGTCCCCGCCCCACGTTGTCACCAGCCTGATGTTTGCTTGTCTATTGTCTGTAACACACACACCCCCGCCCGGGGTGGAGGGTCCAGGCAGGCAGGCCCGGGCAGCGCCTGCAGCCGAGTAGGCTTCCAGATTCAGGGAAATGCCTGGGATGCGGCCGCTCTGATGGCAAAAGAGAAACATGCTTTTTATTTGGAGAGAAAAAGAGAAAAGACCTTTTATCCTACCAACGGAGGTCAACATTAACATTTCTGTGTCTGTTTTGATGGGTATATACTATATACTTTTATTTTCCAAGAAGATCTTGTTGAGCAAACTTTAACCGTATTCCTCCTAAACATTACAAATTTTTATTTTTTATAATCGTTTTGCATCTCTATAATCAACCTGAATTTGGGGCTGTCAACCCGTGGTCCATGTTGGACTTTGACAGCTACACCCCCCATATGAAGTTGTGTGCAAAAGTGTGTGTCTGCTCTCAGTGTGTGCTGTGTGTAGGCTTGAGCACACACAGAGAAGCGATATGTACATCTCCTCATTTGTTCTAGGGAGTCCTTGTCCCTGAAAGACGTTAAGAATCACGGATACACCTCATCTCTTTTAAAGGCCGACCAGCGAGCTGGTGCACCTCGTGATGTATTTATTGATGTGTCGCGGTCAAACCTGCTCCAGGTGCCACCTCTCTTCGTGAGGTTTCCAAGCATCCTGGCCAGGCCCGGGTCACCTAGCCCCTGTGGGCAACCTAGCCCCTGCCCTGACCCTATGCCTCCCACCAGGCCTGTGCCTCTGGGAACAGCTGCTCCCGGCCGGGCCCAGCTTCAGTGCACAGTTGCTGCAAGAGCAGTGAGGCCCTGGGAGGCTGCTATTTTTATCCTCTGGGGTGGGTGGCGGAAGAGCCGGGCTGATGAGGCGGGAAGTCCTGGAACTTGATTTTCTCCTTCTCTACTGAGAGGGATGGATTGCGTTTAGAGATAAACCGGCCTTGATTCGTCAAGCCTCAACTCCCCAGCACAGAATACTGTGCCCATCATTCTACAAGAGGAGGCTGAGAAGAGGGTGAGAGCTGAGGAAAAGTGCTCCACCTGAGAACAATAAAGCCACAAAGATCAGCAAAAACACTTCTCTTGGGGCAACCACTGCTACTTATTAGGGGACCAGGGCTCTGTCAAGAAGGGCTTGGGGGACTTCCCTGGTGGCACAGTGGTTGAGAGTCCTCCTGCCGATGCAGGGAACGCGGGTTCGTGCCCTGGTCCGGGAGGATCCCACATGCTGTGGAGCGGCTGGGCCCATGAGCCATGGCCGCTGAGCCTGCGTATCCGGAGCCTGTGCTCCGCAACAGGAGAGGCCACAACAGTGAGAGGCCCGCGTACTGCAAAAAAAAAAAGGGCTTGGGGCTGGTAATGTGCTGTGTGAACAGGCTCTCAATTCAGACAGTAGGAGTTTTTTTAAAGGATGGCATCTTCCCGGCATTTTTTAAAATGACTCACAGTCCCCCTGTAAGGAAGCCCCTGTCTTCAAGGCAATCTCCTCTAATCAGTGACTTCTTGAGGTATCAGCAGAGCACAGAACTGTCTGGCACTCAGGCCTGGCTGGGCTCTGGTACTTGTTAGTGGTGTGACCTTGGGAAAATTACTTAAACTCTCTGAGCCTCTGGTTTCCTCATTTATAAAATAAGGGGGATAATGCCAGATTCACAGGGCTTTTACAGGATTTAATTGGAGAAGATGTCAGTAAAACACCTAGGCAGACATGGGAATGGGTGGGTGTCACATCCATTGTTGTTGTTATTATAATTAACCTCTTCCCTCTAATGACCACTTCCTGGAAATTTCATCACCAGTTATCTCCAACTGTTCAGACCAGGGATCCTCAAGACCTTCACTCCAGGTAGCACCATGCCTGGCCCAGAGCCAAGCTCAAGACATTAATGCCAGGCATCATGGTTGGCCCTGGGATGCTGGGGTGACTAAGGAGCTTCCTTGAGGAGGTATGATAAACATCAATTGCACATTTTCATCAGTGCTAGGAAGAAAAAGCTAGTGGTTGTCAATGTTCCCAGACCAGTAGTAGTATCACCTGGGAACATGCAAAAATGCTAATTCCTAGGCCCCACCCCAGACTAACAGCAGTAACAACTTCAAGGGGTAGCAGCACACAGAGAAGTGGTATGCACATTGCATCACTTGTTCTAAGGAGTCCCTGTCCCCCAAAGAGTATCACAGGCCCTCTAAGTGATGCTGGCCACTCTGTCAAGAAAATCTCAGCTCTACCATCTCTCTTTCAGACTACTTCAGTTGCCACTTCACTGACCCCCTGCTTTCCCCTTATTCCTTTAGCCTGTTCTCAACACAGCAGCCAGAGCCATGCTGCTAAACCTTAACTGGATCAAGTCACTCCCTGCCTCTTAGACTGCCAATGGCTCCCTAATTCATCTAGAATAAAAGGCAAAGTCCTTACAAGATGTCAAGGCAGTTCTCATTCTTCACCTGCCTTCCTTCCTGTCCAATCTAGTCTTCTTCTACTCTCCCCCTACTCACTTAGCTCCAGCCACAGTGGCTTCCTTGCTGTACTTCCAATGTATCAGACATGATCCTACCTCAGGGCCTTTGCACTGCTGTTCCCTGTACCTGGAATGCTCTTTGTTCTAACATCCACATGGCTTCATCCTTCACCTGTGCAAATCTACACTCAGATGTTAACTTCTGAAGAAGATTAAAAGTTTGACTTCCCAACACTTTAACTCCCCAGAGGGGGAACCAGTTCCCAGTCTCTCCTATCTCTGCAGGGTACTTGGTCTCACACAACACCCAACCAATCACTGAAGAAGGAGTCCCCTCTCCCTCCTGGGTCAGGGTGTGGGGGGCAACTTTTGAAATTTCCCAATAAGCCTCAGTGTGAAAATGCTGGAAAGCCCTGACCTCAGCCTTCTGAGGTTTCTTTGCCTGGAGGAAATGAAGGCCACAGTCGTCATCCTGCTCCACCCACTGCCCCCACTCTTGGTTTTGCTTGTCACTGTGATTGACCTTACTCTTCTCCAGGAGACAAATTTCAGGCCCAGAAACTACCATCATCAGGACTTGTTTCACTGCTCCTAAAAAAGGCCAGCCTTGGGCTTCCCTGGTGGCGCAGTGGTTGCGAGTCCACCTGCCGATGCAGGGGACACGGGTTCGTGCCGCGGTCTGGGAGGATCCCACATGCCGTGGAGCGGCTGGGCCCGTGAGCCATGGCCACTGAGCCTACGCATCCAGAGCCTGTGCTCCGCAAAGGGAGAGGCCACAGCAGCGAGAGGCCCGCGTACCGCAAAAAAAAAAAAAAAAAAAAAAAAAAAAAGACCAGCCTTGGGTTTGAGATGCAGCAGGGTGAGTGGGTGGAAGCACTGGGCCGTCGGGGTCCAGCGGGGAAGGGGTGAGACATCCTGGTTAAGGGAAATGACTGGGGTGTTCATGCGTGGAGTCTTATGCCCACTCAGAGCCTGGCTCACTCGTGTCCACAAGGATAGATGCCCAGTTCACAGAGCCCTGAGAACAACTCCCAACCCAGACTGCGCTCACTCAGCTAGGGGAGGGATCTAGAAAGGGGTGGCTCTAAGTTCTGAAAACACCCCCTTCCTTTGCAAGTGGCAGTTGGGAACACTGCTCTGTGTACTATGGAACAGTTTACTTTTTAAACCTTCTCCCTCCACTTGCAGTGTGAATGAGTCAAGCAGCACCAAAGTCTTGGAAGAAAATATGAACATCCTCTTTGACACAAGTCATCATCTCTCTCCACCACCTCCCAGATTCGCATATGTTCTTATAGCCCTTTCTCTAGACATTTACCTACACGTATCACATACATGCAACTGTATGTGTGTGGTTTCTTACAGTTTTACAGAAATGGGTAATTGTTGACACGATTTGTTTTTTTCCCTGATCAAAATGAATTAAGGTCTTGAGGATGCTTTCATGACAGGACACACAGAGGCATTTTGGTTGGAATGGACAGTGCTAGATTTCACAGTTCTGGTGATGGACCACACATCCTTTTATGTGCATCCCTGTGCACGTATGTAGATATTCAGAAGGGCAGATTCTCGGAAGTGAAGTGCTGAGTTAAAGGGAGTTAACTTTTAATGTTAATGGATTCCACTGAATCACCGTCTGAAAGACTTTACCAATGTACCCTTCCACCAGTGGCATAAATGAAAGAGACAAGGTAATATATCAGGGTTTTTTCATTTTGCTTTTGACAGTCTGGTGAAAGAAAAAATAACTCTTTAATCTGGGTTTCCCTCATTACCAGTGAGGTTGAGCATCTTCTTGTAAGTATTTATTGCCCATTCAATGTACAGCTTTTGCCTGTTTTTCTAGTGAATGGTTCGCCTTTTTTCTTGATTTGTAGATATTTTCTTTTACTGTATCCCTTGTCATTTAACTTTGCTTATGATGTCCTTTACTTAATTTAAATTTTGGATTTTCATTTTAGATAAATCTCACAATCTATTCCTTTATGGCTTCTGCATTTTGTGTCTTGCTTAAGAAAAACTTCACAATTAATAATTTTTGTGTTTTTATAATGCTTTTGTACCTTTAAAACAATTAGCCCCCTAATCCATCTGGAATTTATGTTTATATACGGCATATGACACAATTTTATTTTTCCATATGGGGAGCCATTTGTCCCAAATGCTGTTTTTTGTATTTATTGAATATTCCACTCTTAGTTGTTGTAACTAACTGTATTAGGGTTCTCCAGAAAAACAGAACCAATGGGATATAAATATAAATAAATAAATATATGTGGGTGTGTATATGTGTATATATATATATATATATATATATATATATATATAGAGAGAGAGAGAGAGAGAGAGAGAGAGAGAGGGAGAGAGAGAGAGAGAAAGAGAGAGGGAGAGAGAGAGAGAGAGAGGAGAGATAAGAGGAGATTTATTATGGGAATTGGCTGTCATGATTACGGAGCCTGAGAAGTCCCAGGATCTGCTGTCTGCAAGCTGGAGACCCAGGAAAGCCTGCAGTATAATTCAGTCTGAATCCAAAGGCCTGAGAAGGGGGTGGGGACAATGGTGTAATTTAAATCCCAGTCTGAGGCCTGAGAACCAGGAGTAAATCAGAGGGCAGCAGAGAGGGAGTTAGCCCTTCCTCCACCTTTTTGTTCTCTACTAGCTCTCATTGGACTGGATGATGGCACCCTCATTGGTGAGGGTGATCTTCCTTACTCAGTCTACAGATTCGAATGCTAATCTCCTCCAGAGACACCCTCACAGACTTATCCGAAATAATATGTTGCCAGCTACCTGAGCATCCCTTATCCCAGTCAAGCCGACACATAAAATTGACCATCACAAGTCCACCCCTTGTGAACTTGGCACCCATATACATCTCCTTAAACTATATTTAATCTCTAAATAAAAGCAATAATGAGATCATAACTCTGCCGACATGATACAACTCCCCTATGTACAACTGAAAACATGCTAATTTCTTCCCCAGAAGTGGAGGTAAAATACTTGAGTGATGTTTATTCTTCTCTTGATATCCTACAACTCAAATACTATGATGTGAAATTAATAATACTGATATAAAGTCAATGCATCTTATGTTTCATGGTAAAAGGAAATAAGAGTGGAAAGAAGACAAAGATATTTGTGTAATGTATGTGTGTATACACACAAATGTATTCATAACAAAATTAGTTTTTTTCATAATAAAATAAGCTTTGGGGACAAATGGTTCCCATATGGAAAAAATGAATGTAACAAAATTTATGATAATTACAGGCATCATTTCTGTAGCTGGTCCCATGACTGTAGCTGGTATTTACTTTTTTTTTTTTTCGCTGTATGTGGGCCTCTCACTGTTGTGGCCTCTCCCGTTGCAGAGCACAGGCTCCGGACGCGCAGGCTCAGCGGCCATGGCCCACGGGCCTAGCCACTCCGCAGCATGTGGGATCTTCCCGGACTGGGGCACGAACCCGTGTCCCCTGCATCGGCAGGCGGACTCTCAACCACTGCACCACCAGGGAAGGGAAGGGAAGCCCCTGTAGCTGGTATTTATA